GAGGACATGGCCCTTGACAGGGAATTATGGAGGTCGAGCATTAAGGTTGCAGGTTAGGGGAAAATTGTGAATATTTCTATAGCACAATAGAGTGAGACTAGCTAGTTAGGAGTTAGACGAAGAATGTCATTGGTCGTCTATTGATGCAGGGTTTTACCTGCTAGTTGTACTTTATCAGCCATCTATTTCGTATTTCGTATTCTGTATTTCATATCTCTTATATTGCTGTTATTTATTATGCATTTTTATGGTACTAATATATCGGCTCTTGTTGCTTTTTTTGAGCCGAGGGTCTCCTGGAAACAGCCTCTCTACCATTCGGGGTAGGGATAAGGTCTGCGTACATATTATCCTCCCCAGACCCCACTTGTGAGATTATATTGGGTCGTTGTTGTTGTTGTTGTGACTTGCCTAGTATTGTAATAGGCTCCATCACGACATATAAGATTTCGGGTTTTGACAATATTCTATTATGGTACCATTAAAAACATAGACGGAAAAACTATATACTCTATTATCGTACTATTGAAACATAGATGGAAGGGCTATGTACTACATAATTGTATCACTAAAAAACAGATGCAAAGGGCTATGTGCTTGTTTGCCATGCAGTTGAGACACATACGTAAGTGCTGTGTATTTTATTATTGTATTATATTTTTATGGTTTGCTCGATGTAAGTTGGTAGGCAATGGGAGCCTATCACGTCGTAATCTATTTTGGGGCGTGCAATAAATTAGGACGGATGGAATAATACATAAATATCTGTCATATTTGTGCTAACTTTTTAATGGCATTTTTACATAAATAGTTGGCTGATTTTATTGTTTACTTTTGTGAAGTGTAACGATAATACGATTAAACATTAATCCCAAGTAGTTGATATCATTATGGCATGTATGAATTCTTCATTTACTTCTCATATTATGTTGTGTTTTTAGCCAAACATGTATTGCTTTGGAACGACTTTGCAAAGTCTTTTGATATGATTTCCCTCCTGTTATATATAACCTTAATATTCATGTGCCCTAATATCATTATGAGGTCTCATTACAAATCTCTCTTAAGAAATTAAATTAAAAGCATCTCTGTATTTTCATACGTACTCTTGCACATATAACTTAACTCCTCCCTTTGAACTCGAACTCTTCCACAAATAGTTTCGACGTCAAAAGCCCTACTTTTGGATGGCAGGAGGTAGCCACCCTCCAAAACCCTCCTCCAATAATAAACTAACTCCTCCTTCTTCCTCCAAGAAAAAGTCCCGATGGGATCCCCCCGCCGGCAAAAATCCTTCTTCCGCCGCCGCCGCCTCCGGATCCGGCGACCCCAATTCGAAACCCTCCCCCAAACCCACAAACCCCAATAATCATCCGAACCCAAACCAGAAACCCATTAATCACAACAACAAACCATCACCAAAACCCGACCCGAATACCCAGACCCACCTAAGCCTCCTACCCCCTTTCCCTTTCCGTGACCCACCCCCTCCTCCTTCATACGGGTTTCACATGCTTGAGCGCAGAACCATGGTCCTAGCTGATGGTTCTGTACGCTCTTACTTCGCTTTACCCCTTGATTATCAAGATTTTCCCCGGCCTGAGTTTCGTGTCGGGCCGGGCTTAGGATTCGATGACGGGCTTATGAGGAATAGGAATCAGGAATATTGGAATGCAGAACGGGCCCATGTTGTTGGTGGTGAAAATAATAATATTGCGATGAAAAGGAAGTTTGGTGATGAGGGAGGGAAAGATGGGCTTGAGAGGTTAAGGCAACAGGTATTGGAACATGGGAATGCAGGTGGGCTTGGGGCCCATGGAATGAGTAGTTTGCATATGGGTAGAGGAGGAGAAGAAATGATTAGGCCTCCTGCAAAGTATATGAGAACTGAAGGGAGTGGGAGTAGTAGGATTAGTAGGCACAATGAGGTGGATCAAACTGCATTAAAGAAGTCTTTTTTACTTATGGTTAAGTTAATTTATGAAAATGCTAATCTCAAAAGGAGTTTTTTGACTGATGGAAAGCAGGGCCATTTGCAGTGTCTTGCTTGTAACAGGTCTGGGAAATATACTAATTGTGTCTCAAATGTTTTTTCTTGATTGTTGATGTGTAGATTGAATTATTTGTTTGTGTTGATTCAGTTGCGACATAGGATTGTCTTCTAATGCAATTTTTCTTCAGTAGAATCTGACTTGCATGCACATACGTATAGCATCTACTAGAGAGAATTTTTTGTGTGTTAAATCTACTAATAAATTGTTTTTCCTAGGTGCCCAAGCTAATTAGTTGTTGTTTTATGATCTCTAAGCTCTTGAATTAAAATTTTTATTCAATATACAGTTGCTGCTGACATCAGTGATGTGTATTTCAGGGCTCAGTTTCCAGACAATTCCTGTCAAATTTTGACTATTGTTGTAGAGGTATAGTTGGTAGGTTGTCAAGGGTCTTTAGCAGGTAGATAAAGAAGCAGTTAGCTCCAAGTTATATAGAGAGTGTTTGATTTTTACAGAGCACTGATATAATTTACATTAGTTGTTAGAGATGCTGACATCAGGATGTTGTCATGATCAAGTTTAATTTGGAAACTACTGGCAAATAATGGCTAGGTTTGTGTCTTGACCTGTCAGCAAAGAACTAGGTGGTTTTAAGTTAGAAAAAGAATGAGTCTGCTTATCTTCAAACATTATGCTTTGTTGTGGTAACTCATACCATGGTGCTTTTGAGGTCTGCTCAAAACTTCGCTTGGGCCAGAGAATGAATGGCCTGTTTCCTGGTCTGCTCTTATTTGAAAAAGAAAAAGATCTTGATCGGCTGTTTGAATTTAGTTTGCTTTGCCCTTCAATGGGGGAAAATGTGCTAGGAGCCTCTCTCTCTCTCTCTCTCTCTCTCTCTCTCTCTCTCTCTCTCTCTCTCTTCAATCTTCATCTCTTTGAAGGCGTTATTGCAATATCAGTTAAAAAAAGATATGTGGCCTTATGTGATGTTATAACAGATCATTTATTTGAGCTCTATTATATACTAAATGCTGTTCCCCTATTAGTTTTGGATTGATATGCAGTTGTTGTTGGTCTATTATTCATTTGTGTCATTGTTTCTTGTTACTGAGATGGCATTCTTGAAGCCATATTGTTTTCTAGATAAGCAACTTTTCTTACCGATTATATCCAATTATCAAGGTGTGCAAACTAGCTCGAGCACCACAGTTTTTAAAAAACTTTCGAAAATTCTAAACCAACAGTCAGACCAATCAAATGCTCACCTAGTGTTATGGTTTAATAGTGCTGTACTTTCTCTGCCTTACTATCATCATTTATTTCCCATTTCTTCTATTCACTTGCTGTACTTTGCTTCTCTATTTGAATGTTGTAATTTATGTTCCAATTTCTTTGATTCTCTTGCCAGATCTTATTTCTGCATCCTTTCCACTGAGATGAACATGTCCCTATTCTTCGTTCATGCTCTCAAAAATTTTCCAAGAGCTTGTTGCCTAATTAGGATTGTTTACATTCTTCTGGAATGATCTCAGCCATTCAGACATGGTTTCTAATTCAATCGTCCAAAGCAATTTCTTGCTCTCATTGCTTATTTTGAGTTCTCATTCTTAATCTCTGTTCAAACTCAATAGTAACTTACATCCTTATTTCCTGCTGTGAGTAGATCATGTACTTAATTTCATGTAAGATTCTCCCTTGTTCTATCTGTACGCGTAATCCTCTATTTCTTCTAATGATGATGCTTGGTATGTAAATTAAGTGTTGGACTATGTTCGAATTGGGTTAATAGCCTGTTTGGCCAAGCTTCTATAATTTGCTTGTTTTGAGAAGTGCTTTTCAAAAAAGTACTTTGGTGATAATCGGTTTGTGTTTGGCTAATTAATTTGAAAAGCACTTTTGAGCAATAATTAGTGTTTGGCCAAGCTTCTATAATTTGCTTGTTTTGAGAAGTGCTTTTCAAAAAAGTACTTTGGTGATAATCGGTTTGTGTTTGGCTAATTAATTTGAAAAGCACTTTTGAGCAATAATTAGTGTTTGGCCAAGCTTTTGAAAATTGCTTCTAAGTGTATTTTTCTCAAAGGTGCTTCTCAGAAAAGTGCTTTTGGAGAGAGGTTATATTTTTCTGCTTCTCAAAAACTGCTTCTGCTTCTCCTCAAAAACACTTTTTTTTCCTTCTAAAAGCTTGGCCAAACACCTCAATTTTTGGCAAAAAAGCTTGGCCAAACAGGCTATAGATGTAACAAATTTTGTTGGTTTTTGTGGAGAACATCCTGCTGATGCATTGATTTAGCTGCTACTGATAACTTTAGTACCCACTAAAATGAGAACTGATATCATTGTAGGATTGTTTGAGCAGCAACTGCAGTATAGGGTGCATGGGTGTTATACAATACATACTGTAATACATAGCCTTTGTATCTCATGTTTAGTTCAGAGGATTAAGTGCATTGGTAGAGGTAGGAATCTGTTCTAAAATACTTTTTTAGGAAAATTAAAATACTGATAGTGAAATTAAGTATGTTTAATATCTGCTAAGGAGGTTTTTATGAAGGACCATGGTGTACAAATGCACAAGAAGAATAGTTGTTAAGTGAGATAATAACCCAAAAGAATCATATTGAGGTGAGAGTTATTGGTGTTGCAGGTGACATATCTCAGAGGGAAAGGATGTTCTGTGTACAGGAAATTGTGGTTTTTGTATATCTTATTTTCATAATGAAATTCTGAAGTACCTAACAGTAACAACAATGACAATATTGTCTCAAAATTCAAAATATATAATGTTCTGAAAATGTGAAGTAAAATAAAGTGTTGACCCATCCAGTTATTAGTGAGAACAGTAAGGGAAGTTTTTGTTCAACTTTTGTGAGACATCTAATTAGTTGCTTAAGGCGGTACAAAGCTTTTATTAGGTCTCTTAAAGTTATTTCAAATATTTTGTATGATGTATTGTGTCATCGGATCAAACTAAAGCATTTCTTTGATCAGAGTAATGAGGGTGATATAAACTCTAATTGGGTATTTGTTTGATTCAATATACTATTGGGGCTCTTTTTGTGATAGCCTAATTTATCTGTTGTTTTCATCTTCTCTCATCGTCCTTAGTCCTATGATTGCTTTAAAAAGGAATAACTAGTGGCATACACTCAGATATATGAAGCAAGGGAGGCATGGTCCACATACCTGTGTGGGGAGAGATAGATAGAGAGGGGAGGGGGGAGTCTTTTCTATATGCTTTTCGACACTTGCATTATTTCATATTTGATAGAAAATCTATAGCTGAATATCCTTCTCAAAAAAAATAAAAAATAATTTCTTTTTATAGCTGAGTGGCTGCATGTTGAATGTACTTCATCAGTCTTTGGAGATTAGCTTTAGCTTTACGGAGCTTATTGTGTTGATTCTTTCTTCTTTGTGGTGAGGCAATTTTATGCCTTAGAAGCTTCTCTGTTATTGATTGGTTACCTGAGCTATAACTCTACCCTGCTTGACCTATGTGACTATCACCATGGAGCTCTTAAAGAGTTTTTGTGGAAGAGCCTTTTTCTATCAATGAATTAGATGCTTTATCACATTAGTTTGAGATGAGGTGAGTTTCCAGTTCCTAAGGGTAGAGCAGCAAGTAAAGCTTCTAGCACCTTACCTGCTTAAATGCTTGACTAGTGGTCCTTTTCATACAATGATACAAACTATATTTGACTTAAGTTTTTCTTTCTTGCTTCCTCTGTTGGATCTTTGTAGACTGGCGACCATGCATTAACCATTTAACATTCAGGAAGTTAGTCATTTGTTTTCTTAATTGCAGATGTGATGAAAGTATCAGCTAAATGACTTGAAGGTAGTCAACCTAGGTAGAATTCCACCAATGTGCTCATGTTATGCAGGCATAACTCTTTCAGAGCTTTGTATTTGAATATTTTCTTTCATAGATCACTAGGATATAGAAAAGCTTTTTCCTTTACCTTGTTCTAATGTTTGTCAAGAATTCTATTGTTCTCCCATTTTAAACAAAAGTTCTTGTTGGTGGAGGAGTAGCTTGCTACTTTCACAATGTTGTATTATCATTTTGTGGTTGAACCAGATTGTCGTATTCCATGATAGATGAAAATGGTAGACTATTGTGTGGTAAATGAGAGCAATATCTGATACCTTTACCACCTTTTAGTGTGGCCTCCGGTTTGAGTTTCAACAGGTCAACGCGTGCAACCAAATCATGGACTTCCGTTTATAAATTTTCTTTGCTTGATTGCTCAACTATGCCACTATCTTGGTTATGGTTGCTGTGGTATGAATTGGTAGCTTGCATAAAACTAGTGAAGGAAGAAAAACTGAATGGTTTTAGTCATGATTAGTTTGCGCAGCTGTCGTTTTCTCCCACATCTTGGTATGGGACGGAAGTAGTTCTGTGCACGGCTCATATGCCGTTCTATGCTTTACTTTCCCTTGTTACTCATTAGATTGGCAGTGTAGTTCATAGTAAGTTTGCCATAGGTGGAATTTGTATGATTGGTAGTTTGTATTACATGTTCTTTCGTCACCGCGGAGAAAATCTCAAGGTGTTAAAAATCTCAATGTTCCATTCAATGAGATCAACTTGTTTAACTTCCCTTTCCAACATTTAAAGAGATTTTTTCCCTTTCAAAGTAAGTTTGAAGACAACTTTGACGGCAAAGTTCATCTCATGTTCAGGTGTATTTTAGCTGTGATCTGCCACCTGTCACAATAGCCTCATTGCACCTTGTTGAGTTTCACACCCTGAAATAATACTCACAACTTCCCTTTTATTGCTAAATGCTTTATTTTTGCTTACACTTAAGTTTATCTTAACTTGGAATGTTTGAGGAATAATTCTGAAGTACTCTTTGGCATGAAAACAACACAGGGCTTCAAAAGATTTTCCTGATATGCACACTCTTATTATGCATGCCTACAACTCGAATAGTGCTGATTCACTAGTGGAACATTTGGCCTTTCACAAAGCATTGTGTGTTCTGATGGGATGGAACTATCTGGCACCTCCTGATAACTCGAAGTCATATCAGATGTTATCTGCTGATGAAGCAACTGCAAACCGAGATGATCTAGTTTTGTGGCCCCCTTTGGTAATAATCCACAACACTATCACAGGAAAACGTGATGATGGCCGCATGGAGGGTTTGGGAAACAAGGCAATGGATAGTTACCTTAGAGGTAAAATGTCCAACTCTGTTTCTTATCATTTCCATCATTTCATCAAGGGAATTTTCCTGCTTCTGTGCTATCTTCTTGCACGCATATAGCAGTCATAGCTACCTGCCACATCTAAACGTCTCCACCCAATATGGTCCTTTTGTCAGGACTATTACTTTTACTCGCTTAATTTGTTTGACCTATTTGATTAATTTACCATGCCGTTTTTGCTGGTGGTTTGTGTTTCAGCATTTCAGTGGTCATTTTAATCTCCGCTGTCTTGCACACTAGCGGTCTCTGATGATTTATAAGTCTACTTTCAGGCGTGCTATTCTATAGTGTTTGTGAGGGGTACCTCTTAGGCCAAGAAGCATAGAATCTGAAGCAGGATAGAATCTTAAATCTGTTACAGGTCTTATAGTGGACTGTAAAAGCAAACTTGGTGGTTTGTACAATTAGTTTACCGGAGTTTAGACCAGAATTTATGTGCTTTTACTGATCGGAAGATTTGTCAAGGAAATTGAAGAGGAAGGCCACAGAGAGGGAGGGACGGAGGTAATACCCTATCATGTTTAGGGTGTAAAATCTATCCAAAAATTGATATTAGAGATAGTACTTTGAATGGCGTTGCAGTTGGCTTCTTATTTTACTAAAAAGCTCCTTAAATGCACTTAGATTGTCTTTCTACAGTAAAAGTTCAAATGTAAATGAAATAGGTTTCCTCGTAGATTTTCAAATTCCCTACATTTATAGAGTGCTACTGAGTGTTTTGCATTTTAGATATTCCTACACCTTCTTGGTGCATTCAAACAAAATAAATTGTCTTACTTATCAAAACATTCTTTAGTTGGCAAAGAATGTGTATATTGTCAGTCATGTCACTGTAGTGGATCCTTAGATCAGCAGCCAATGCATTTAGAATACTGTGGATTGCATGGGGCCCAGCGCAACATGCCATTTGTGTTGCTAACATGTATTTGGGGCGTGAAATGTATTCTGTTTGTAACCAGTATATCTGTCTTTCATGCATTGCAATCCACCAAGAGGTTAAATCTTTGCTACTGTCAGTGTAGTTGATCTGTAGTGTGAAAAGGCGTGGTTCTAATTTTCAGTGAGATGTTTCTGGTATGTGAAATGAACCTCTTTGGAGGGCTACTATAATCAATATATTTCCAGAAGTAACTAGTAGAATTCTTTCTGAGGAGCTCAGTAATATTATTGTATTTTAATTGTCTGTTTCTACATGGTCAACATGTATGAGATTGCAACTTCATGCTTGAACCTCAGCTTCCTGAAGTTCTTTTGGAGAGTTCTACTGTTGAGGTGCATCTGGTTTCGGTTTTCATTAAACCATCTTTTGGGGGGGGGGGG